GGGGGTTTGGACTCGTTGACAAAAGAAGTGTTGAAAGAAATGGGTTTGTGGTCAGAGAAAACTGTATCTCCAATTTCTAACTCAGAAACAGATAAACCAAAGGTTAACACTAAATCCAGTGTGTGGCTATGCTAGTGAGTTGATCCTGCAACATTCTGTACAAAGTTCAGAGACGGAATCAGATCTAGAAAGTCCTGAGTCAGCAGCTTTTCAGGGCAGCAGACATGTATATTGAAATCTCCCAGAATCAAAACCTGATAATATCTTAGCAGAATCCAAGTTAAAAAGTCAGAGAGTTCAGCCGTGAAGTCCTTATTATATTTGGGTGGCCTGTATAACACAGCAGAAATAACAGGATTTGAATGGCCCACCTCAAAACACAGCAGTTCGAAGCTCAAAAAATTAGCTGGTATCTGTACCATTTTGCAGTTCCATCGTTTTTTGAAAATAGTTAGTAATCCACCACCTTTGCCTGATGTTTTTGGAGCATTAAAATAAGAACAGTCCGTGGTAAAATTTCTGACAGGGCCATGAACTCACCATAGGAGAGCCACGTCTCAGTCATGCAGAAGATGTCAAGACCAGTGGAGGAGAAAAAGTCCTTTAAGATGAACCGTTTTATTAGCCAGAGTTCTGGCATTTATCAGGGCAATCCTTGTAGGAATCACAGCAAGAGAAGTTGTCCATGAAGTTAAAACCAGCTGTCTCAGATTTGTGGAGTTCGACCCGCGACTCCAACGACCGGAAGCCCAGCGGCTACAAACAGGTCTTCTGTAGAAGCGCGACCCGACCCATGGGACCGGGAGGGACTCAGGTGTATCGGCGCAACACCAGGACAGGTGATTTAAGATGAGGTCCTCGTTTGAAGAGGAAGCCGCAGCAGCAGTCCGGCAGGCTTTGATCCTCAAAAGACGGCCGGCCCGTTTTCCATGGCACCTGGAGCGATGTCTTCGAGCGGGCAGGATACCACGGCGGAGGTAAACAGGAACGTCTTCAAGCAGAGGTGGGGGTCCAAGAGGGGGTCCAGAGTTATGATTATTATGATCAAACAAAGCGAGACTGGTGGCAGATAGTCGGAGATTTAGGAGTTGATAATGTTCATAAACCAGCAGTGAGTTGATGTTGTAGGTGAAAAATGACAAAAACAGAAAAAACACAATCAATGCAGACAGAGGTAGAGGGCAAGCCATGCACAGCGGCGCCATCTTCCCAGAACAATGAACAATACATATATATGTATATAATAATAATAATAATAATAATAATACTTTATTTATAAAGCCCTTTAAAACAACCACAGCTGCCACAAAGTGCTGTACATATAAAATAAAAGAACATTTAAACACATAAAAACAGTTGTTAAAACATTAAGATCAATAAAAGTAATAAAAACAGTGCAGATCAAATTCAGTGTGTGCTAAAAGCCAGGGAGTAAAAATGTGTTTTTAAAAGAGTTTTAAAACTGGACAGTGAAGGGGCTTGTCTGATTGTCTGTAAAGCGCTTTGAGTATCTTGAAAAGATAGAAAGGCACTATATAAGTACAGTCCATTTACCATTTGGTGCCTGTCTTGGCTAAACCAGAAGACCGAACAATTTCCAAGTTAACCACTTTCCCTCAAGGGATCATTAATATATATATATTTTTTAATTTTTAAAAATTTTCCAAGACATGTTCATAAGGTGAAATTGTATCAAATTCAAGAAAGGGGGTTGATGGCTGTAGGCCTGTTATTAGATTTGTCTGCATCTTTAGATGCAGTAGACCACAGACTCTTACTGTCTTGTTTGGACTGATATATGGGTAGATGAATCAGTTTTATTTTGTGTTTTTAAACTGATCCAAGTCTTACTTTCAAATATACAATCAAGCTGTGTTATTTTAGACCCAGACGAGAATGCAAAATCATTTTCTTAATTTAATCTTGACTGAAGAGGTAAATCACAGCCTTCATCACTGTAGAGGCACCTGAGTGAAACTAGTCCAAGAATCTGTTATTTGCTGCTCAAATGTATTATTAAGCCTTTATTGTTATGTACCAATTGCTCCAACTGGAAGATTTCTTGCTTTAAAATAGGTTCTTTAAATCAGAAGATGTAAAAAATGGCAGGTTGGCTTTCTTGGACTGTGAGGTCTCAGTCTCTGATAGAGGACATTTGCAAACTGAGGTGTACCGCAAACCCACCCACACAGACCAGTATTTGCAGTTTGACTCCCATCACCCTTTGGAGCACAAGTTAGGAGTCATCAGGACTCTGTACCACAGAGCAGACAGCGTCCCCACTAGCTCAGGAGCCAGGCAGAAGGAGAAATCCTACACAAGACAGGCTCTAGAGCAATGTGGATATCCTAACTGGGCCTTCCTGAAAGAAGAACCCCAAACAGGACTCCAGTCAGCCATCAGGTGAAAAGGAGGAACCCAGACCCAGACCAGTGGTCATTCCATATGTTGAGGGAGTATCAGAGAAACTGAGACGTTTATTTTCTAAACATAACGTCCCAGTGGCTTTTAAACCCCAAAATACATTAAAGACTGGTTCATCCCAAAGATCCAGTCCCCCGGCACAAACAGAGCAATGTTGTGTATGTTGTTCAGTGTCAGGAGGGTGATCAGTCTTACATTGGGGAAACTAAACAGCCACTGGCCAAAAGGATGGACCAGCACAGAAGATCAACATCATCAGGCCAGGACTCTGTGGTCTACACTCATCTCCAGGCCAGCGGTCACTCTTTCAGGGATGAAGATGTTCACATCCTGGACAGAGAGGAACGATGGTTTGAGAGAGGAGTAAAGGAGGCCATCTTTGTGAAAATAAATCGTCCATCATTAAACAGGGGTGGAGCCTCCAGGTTCAACTGTCCCCCTCTTACAATGCTGTGATTGCTAGTATCACTCAGCCCTCTGTGAATAGTGTAGAGGGATTTTTTTGATTGGATATCTATATAATTTATTAGTTATGAGTTAAGCTCATAATAAGCATTTATTATGCAAATAACCTCGTTATGCGGGCACCACCTCTTGAAGAGGAAAATCAGTCTCTAACCCTCAAATTAACTAAACTGAAACGTGAATTCTTTCCCGTGTTTAAAGGGCATTAACTCAGTTAATACACACAGATATGTCAAAATAATCACAAATTTAGTTGATTTTTATGTATTTTATTACAAAAATAATAATCTGATGTATATATCTGATCAAGATTATTCATAAAAAATTAATACACAAATTAATAACAAAATTACCTTGTGTCAAAGGTTATTTGATTATTAAATTCAGTGTAACTTTTTATAAAAGGCAAAATCTTGGACTGGTTTGTTGGGGTGTAGTTAAAATTGTGTCTAAATTAACTGTGGTGTATCTAAATTAATATTATTGTGAATGTATGATCACCAGAAAAGCATTAAGGTCTCTTGTCCTACCAGAATGAGTCGTCAGAATGTCCACAACTGCTGAGGGGTGCCAGCTGTACCTGAGATGCTATGGGTGACTTAAAAGGAGGATTTATCCTCAAAGGTCACCAGTCATCCGTTGGAGGGACCAAGGTCTGATCACTGGCTCTTTGAAGTCAGCTGGGATTTACCACTCTGCGGCGTGATGTTCTGGTTCGGGTCTTAGTTTAATGCCAAGTTCTGCTGGTTATTGTCTTCCTTCCAGGACGTCTCACTAGGAGGAAGATTCTTCTCTGAAGTTTTGCTCGAAGTTTGTTGATGTAGAAAGAGCGGTGAAGCGTAATATAGAAGTGGAGTAGAAGATGAAGAAGTGAAGTGTCTGTCTGTGTGTTACAGATTCACTTAGGACCCCCCCCCCCCCCCCCCGAAGTGGGATGGTTCCTAAACCTTGGTGTTATGTTTCATAAAATCTACAGTCCATTTTCTCTATCTGCCTTTAAAAAGTCACACTTCTTTTAAAAGGAGAAAAATAAACATTACTTTAAACAGACATTTTCTATAACATACATTCAGTTCTGAAGCTGTGGCAGTAACATGCAATGTTCATCAAAAAGGTGTTGCTGTTCATCTCCTGAAAGGGAATGTCATGAAATAAAGGATTCTTTTAAAACTGTTTATTTTCCCCTGGAGATGACTCCTTGGCAGGTGTCCCACCTCGAGGCCAAAATGAACCACAGCTCTCATTAAGACGATCTGTCCGTTTCGTGGGAAATGAGGTCATATTGGCAGTGAAGTTAACACAATGACAGTTTTCATTACATTAGATTAGTGGCAACTAAGGAGTTTGTAAACTGAGTTTAACACCTGTAAAATAAAGTCTGTTCATTCCCAAGGGAATAAATGCATCTTGCTTTAACAGTTTCAAACACACAAAAAAAAACATGAATGATGTTTGTTTTGAGATGAGGTGAACTCTGTTCAAAAGTGGTGTTCCCCTACAGTAGTACACAGCCATCAGGTGCTAATGATCCATTGTTAGGCTGATGGTCCTTCTTGAGCATGTGATCAGCTGGTTTTGGTTGTCAGCAGCAAACTGGTTGATCCACTCTGAGAAGGTGCTATTTAAGAGACTGAGCTGAATACAGCACCTCAGACTGAGGAAGTCCTCAGGATGAGAGACGAAGGGTATCTTCATTTTTTTGTTGTTGTTTTGCTTTGTTTTGTTTTTGAATGTCCAGAGGACCAGATTTAACTTTTTTAGATTTTTCTACCTGGATTATTGAGCATGCATCAGGATATGTCTGATGTATCGTTTCATGCGTGTTCTGTTTGTCCTATTTTCTACCAACATTTGAAGCTCTTCATTTCATTAGCTGATCAAAATATTCAGTTAATGTGGCATAAATTACAAAATGTTTCATTTCAGAAAGGATGAACACAATTACATCTGTATAATGCTTTTGGTTTTCATTTTATTTAGAATAAATTTCTTAACTATTTTTCCTTCTTCTTCAGAACATTGATAAAAGCATCTTTAGGAACTTCTACGTTGCCAATACGCCTCATCTTCTTTTTACCCTCAGCCTGTTTCTTCAGAAGCTTCATCTTCCTTGTTATGTCACCACCATACTAAAAAAGGAAAGGAAAAATTAAAAGAGCCACTTATATATTTTACAGCTCTTATTAAAGTAAAGAAAAAAATACCTACACATTTTGCAAGAACATTTTTCCTGTATGGTTTTATTCTGAAAGAGGCACATATATAATTTTTATACCCTGTTTATTCAGATTTTTTTTTTTTCATAATGCTTTGCATCTGTTCAGGCATATGCTTTATTCTCACATTTCTCAAACATGTTCAGTGGCTTAGAGCACATTTTGTACTTACGTTTCCCTTGCAATGACCTTACTTCCAATAGCTGCCTGTATGGCGATTTCAAACATCTGCCTTGGAATGGCGTCCTTTAGTCGCTCGCACATGGCTTTCCCTGTACTGTGTGCACATTCTCTGTAATGAAACCACATTTATCAAAAATAGAAATCAAGAAATAAATAGCTGCTGACTGACTGATGGTCAAGCATTAGCTTTGTGCTGGAGGAGAGGAAAACAAATGTCCATAAAGTCTACTGAACTCATCTCATTAAAAATATTTACTTATTTACTCTCTATAATGAAATAAATAAATTATATTCACAAGTTGCAAAACTGTATGTAGTGACTGAAGTTTTCAGCCAACATTTATTTACATTCTGCTTCCAAGCACCCAGACTTTCGTCTTTTCTTTGGACTTCGCCTTTTTTTTTAAGTCCTTTTTTATTTTTGTTCTTATATAGTGACAGCATAATGTGCAGTGTTTGCTTAAAAAGGGCAATTGGAGAAGTGATTGACAAAAAACAAATAAATAAATAAAAATGGGTGTAACAAAAACTCCACAGAACATGAATATTATCAAAAAATCATAGCTTTAGGAAAACATAAAGAAAATCCATGAAGCTAGATTGAAAGCTGTATCATCCTTGCAACGTACCAGGGCCTGATGGCATCCCTGGATGGGTGCTGAGAGTGTGCGCTGACCAACTCACTAAGATGTTTACCAACATCTTTAACCTGTCTCTGAGCCAGTGTATTGTGTCCACCATCTTCAAGACCTCTACTGTTGTCCTCATCCCAAAGACCTCTGCAGCATCCTGCCTTAAGGCTCGCACAGACCCGGGCAGACCTCAGTCCACGCGGAAACTGTGTGTACTGTCCGCAGAGGGTTGAGACTTCATACCCGAGCGTCCACTCTGAGCGGCTGCAGCCCAACTCTACAGGCAAGGGGCATTTACCTTTGGGACAAATTGAGTTTGCCGATTGGTCGTTTGCTGATACGCCTACTGGATTGATTGACAGGTTGCAAAAAAACAAAACAAAAAACAAAAAAAACACCAAGACCTTGCAACCCCAGCCGCAGCGATGTTCTATGTTTATATGTTGTTAATAAAAAGTTCTAAAAAATAAAACAAACAGGGAGTGCTGGCCCTGCAACCCACATATCAGACCAGCCCACCAGGAAATTTCCAGACCCTCCCGCAGCCACGTTGGACATGATTTTAATTCGCTCGTGACTAATTCCTTGATTTCTTGCATTTTCAGTCATGGCGTCAATGGACGAGGAGGAAGAGATCACTTGCCTCTTGGCAAAAAAACTAAAGAAAGGCCATTAAACCAGACCAGGGATGAAGAAGGGGAATTTAATTCATTGGTGTCACATAAATGGTAAATGGACTGTACTTATATAGTGCCTTTCTATCTTATTTCAAGATACTCAAAGTGCTTTACAACAATCTGTGTCCTCATGTACCCATTCATACAGCTCTCTACTAGATCTCTACAAAGCTAATTGAACAAATCATTCTAATGAGATTAATCAGTGCTTTAGATCACATTCATACACCGATGGGACACATCAGAGGCTATGAGGGGTTCAGTGTCTTGCCCAGGGACACTTCAGCATGTGACTGCTGGTGGATTCAAACCCCCAACTCTCGCATTGGAGGATGACTGCTCTAACCACTCAGCCACAGCCGCCCACATACAAAACAGTCCGTTGCCGGGAAGTTTATTTTGTGACATTGAGTATGCATACACAGTCGTAAAAATTAAGCTTTGCACGGACATGCCCTGTGGGCGTCCACTTTGACTCTAATCCAGTCTTGCGCAGACATCCACGAAGTTGGGGGTTCGATTCCACCAGCAGTCACATGCCAAAGTGTCCCTGGGAAAGACACTGAACCCCTCATTGCCTCTGATATGTGTCCCATCAGTGTATGAATGTGATAAAGCACTGATTATTCTTTGCACAGAAATAGTAGAATGCTGTATGAATGGGTAAATGAGGGAACATGTAGTGTAAAGCGCTTTGAGTATCTTGATAAGACAGAAAAGTGGTATATACAGTAAGTGCAGTCCATTTACCATTTATCATTTGGTCACTAAAGTTGGGTAGTGTCTGAAAGAACAAGCTTGCTAATACAAATGATCAATATAAGTTTTCTCTGCAGGGTAGCTGGATTCTCCCATAGAGATAGACAAATTGTGAAATTCAGTTATCTGGGATACTCACTCCGAGTGGAGCCGCTGTTTCCCCACATTGAGAGGAACCTGTTGAGGTGGTTTAGGCATCTAATAATAATGCCACCTGGACACCCCCCCACCCCCCCAGGGAGGTTTTATGGGCATGTACAACAGGGAGGAGACCCCAGGGAAGACCCAGTACACACTTGAGAGACAAGTCACTCAGCTGGCCTGAATGCTTTGGATTCCTCCCAGAAGGTATGGAAGAGGTGGCTGTGGAAAGATGTCTGGGCAGACCTGACTCCAAAACAAGCAGAAGATAATGGATGGACTCTAGGTCCGTCCATTCTTGATATAGTAAACAGTAGCTTATAGATATAGATATATTTGATATAGTAAACTCCAGTAGTTTATCCACTGGCGTAGTGCCAAAATCCTTTAAACATGCTGCTGTCCAGCATCTCATAAAAATTTTTAAAAAAATCCTTGACCCCTCAGTCGTGTCCAACTTCCGTCCTGTCTCCAAACTCCCATTTGTTTCTAAAATACTGGAGAAAATAGTTGAGTCCCAGTTGAAGTGCTTCCTGGAGGGTCACGCCATCTTAGATCTATTCCAATCTGGCTTTAAACCTCTCCATAGCACTGAAACTGCCCTGCTGAAGGTTTTTAATGACATCTTCATATCCACAGATACCGGTGATTCTGTGCTGCTTGTCCTGTTGGACCTCACAGCCACCTTTGACACCATCGACCATGAGATTCTCATTGCTAGGTTGGAGCAGTGGGTGGGCATCACACGATCAGCCCTCAATTGGTTCAGATCTTACCTCACTGACAGATCCTTTTGTGTCTCCATCAAGGATTTTAGTTCTGCAGCGGCAGAGCTTAAATGGGGGGTTCCGCAGGGGTCCATCCTGGGTACCCTCCTATTCTCTTTATACCTGCTGCCGCTTGGTGCTATTTTCCGGAAACGCAACATACCCTTTCATTTCTACGCTGATGACTGTCAAATTTACTTCCCCCTAAGACACAATGGTACATGCTCTATTCAACCTCTGCTCAACTGCCTGGCTGACATCAGGGACTGGATGGCTTTAAATTTCTTGAGTTTCAATGAAAAGAAGTCTGAAGTCATGTTATTTCCTCCCAATGACATCATCACAAACCACTGCATCGACCTTTCCACTCTAACCCTGTCAGAAAAACAAAGAGTCACTAATCTGGGCGTGATAATGGACCCTTCCCTGAAGCTTAACAATCATGTAAACATGATTGTTAAATCATGCTTCTTCCAACTGAGGCGGCTGTCTAAACTGAAGCCCATATTGTCCAAAAAGAACCTGGAGACAGTAATACATGCATTCATTACATCTAGTCTTGATTACTGCAATTCACTCCTGTTTGGTATCAGTCAGACCTCCATTGCACGACTACAACTGGTCCAAAATGAAGCAGCACGATTTTTAACCAGTACAGGCAAAAGAGAGCACATTACACCAGTTTTGGCCTCACTGCACTGGTTACCAGTTCACCTTAGAATCCAGTTCAAAATACTACTGTATGTCTACAAATCACTGAACAGTCCACCCCCCCCCCCCAATCTCTCCGATCTGCTACAACCGTATGTCCCACCACGCCCCCTGAGGTCAGCAGACCAGTTGCTCCTCACAGTTCCAGGAACTCGTCTTAAGCGCAGAGGTGACAGGGCCTTCTCTGTAGCAGGACCAAGACATTGGAATGAGTTACCTCTGCTCGTCAGACAGGCCCCCTCCCTCTCGGTTTTCAAGTCCCGTTTAAAAACTCTCTACTATTCGTTGGCTTTCAACACCAGATGATCTGTGTTGTGAACCTGTACGCTCCACACTGGTTTGTCATCATTATCTGCATCGTTTTATGTCTATATTCTGATTTACCTCATTTTGTATTTTGCTTTGTGTGTTACCTGTTGTTCTGTCTGTACAGCACTTTGGTTGGCCTTGTCGCTGTTTTAAGTGCTCTATAAATAAAATGGTATGGTATGGTAAGTTAAATGTTGACACAAGACTGGTTTATCCCTTGAGTTCAGGAGCCTTTTTAACCAGAATGATTTATTGGCCACAGTTAAGTGGTTTCAAAAACTAAAAATAAAAAAAGATGATCATGTTCTGGACAAAAAAATAAGTGAAAATTTGTTAAAGACTTTCAAAAAGCTTCAAGAAACATGGATCGTGACCACCTTTAAATGTTACATCTAACTAAGCCCTCCAACAGTGAAAGAAGATAAAATTCATTCAACCGTTATTTCTAAAGGTTAATCCCGTTGAGCCTCGAGGACCCATTTACAAGACAGACCTGATTTCAACAAAGAATGACGACAACAATGGACAACCACGGCAACAATTGACAATCATAAAAGAGGCATACACATTTTTTTTTTTTTTTACAAATTAAAATAAGATGGCAAAAAAAGTAGCAGAAAACAGCTAGATTATAATGCGCGTGTAGAAAACTAAAAACAGGAACATATCTGCATTGGTTCTTGAAGGAGTCCAACAGATGCTTAAAGTCACTTAGAGAGGTCAAGATTGAGAGCTTCAGATCAAAAAAAATGCTAGCGCTTTCCAAGTATAAACTGTAAAGTAAGTGTAAAGTTTGATAGAGTAAAAGGAGATGACAAAATTTTGAAAACACCAGCTTCAAATATTGTGACATTGTGAAACTGGAATATCCTGTGGTAAATAAAAAAAGTGTAAAAAAAAAATTCAAGATATTTAAAAAGTTTTCTTAACATCCTACTTTTTGTGACACAAACTTTGAATCATGTTTCTATAAAGTTGAGACTGAGCTATAAAACTTCAATGAAGAAAGGGCTTTCTTAATCATTTCAACAAAATCCCATTGGTGTCTGAGAAATTTTTATTTTCAGGTTTTTGTGAACTTTACCTGTCATACGATGTACTGCTACCAAAAAGACTCCACTCCACACTATATCTAACTGAGCTGCACATTCTTATTTATATTTTTTGTTTGGGTTTTTACAAGAACTGCAAAACAAAAGTGAATGAAAAATTGTGATGGAAACAGAATGACTGGCCAATAGTAATAAAGATGCTTCATGCTTGTTCAGTAGCATCCACTGAATTCTGAAGCATTTCTCAGAAGTTTCAAACAAAAATAAAAACAAACTTGTCTCTTACCTTGAATCTTTTCTTTCAGCTGTAACTTGAAACGTACCTGTGTACGATGGTGGTGAGTTCTTCCACAGGTCGCCCATTCAGCAGAAAATCCATCTTTATCAAATCAGCAGCCTGGTAGCCTGCATTCTCATAATCAAAGCTGTGGACAAACACCTTAAAAAATGAGCGTCTGAACTCATGAAGCACTTTGAGACGTAGTTAAATATGACAGAAATGTCTGTCTATTGTTAGATACACATAAAAGGTTTAACTGACTGAACTAAAGGTGAAATACCTTAATTGTTGCTATTTTTTACATTCTCTGTGATTTTTATATTCTGTTTTTTATATTCTCTGTTTTTTTTTTTTTTTAATTCTCTGTTATTTTTTATATCTTGTGTGATTCCTTGTGTATGTTCCTTTGTACTGAAACTCTGGCACAACAATTTCCTGGGGTATCAATAAAGTTCTATCTTATCTTATTTTAATGCAAATTATACAGTTCAATTTCTTTTATTACAATGCTTTTTTGTAAATTATAAACAACCTAAATCATCTTACATATTAAAGATTTTTTAAAGAATGTATATCTAATACATTGTTGAAAGGTTTGTCAGCCTTTTAGTTTTGTATATATTTTTAAATAAATCTGAATAAGAAATAAAAAAAGTATAAAACAGTGCTCAGTTAGCTGAAAAGTATAATGATCTAACATTGTAGATCGATGAGTGCATGGACATGTGAACATTTAGGATTAACAGTTGTTATAATGTGAAAAACGCCAGATGTTTTTAAATATATCAGAAAATAACAGCGAGTTGGAAACTAATGCCCCTTTTCCATTAGTACCTGTAGTACCGGTACAGCACGGCTCTACTCTACTCGGTACGGTACAGGTTGTGTTTCCATTATGCTTTCAGTACCGGTTCCAGTGGGCGGGGTTCAAATTGACGTCACCACCTCTCACCAGCTGGTGGCGCTGAGACGCAGAAACTGTTTTCAGTACAGGTTGCGAATTCGTGTTATTTTGAAGTTGTGTGTATGTATGTATGCATGTACATGTGTATAAATATATATATATACATATACATATAAATATATATATATATATATACACATATATGTATATATATATATATATGTATATATGTATATATATATATAAATATAT